TAAAATTAAAAAGTACAGGGACGCCAGAGTGGCTCAGTTGGTTAAGCGTCCAACTCTTGATCTTGGCTCCGGTCTCGATCTCATGGTCATGAGTTCAAGCACCACACTGGGCTCCATGTTGGGCCCATATGGAGCCTACTTAAAAAAAAAAGTGTAAGAGAAAAAGAGACTTGACATGTAAATACAAAATGTTAATAGCATTATCTCTGGGGAGCAGGATCACAGGAGAATTTTATTTCTTCTACCTATACAGTATTTTCCAAGATTTCTAAAAGGAACAGAATATTGCTATATGTAGCAATTTTGATACATGTATTTTCATCAGGCAGGCTCTCTTGGACTATAATTTGGGACAGGGTTATCACCACAGGAGAAAGACAATGGATTGCCTATAGAAAGAAGCAATAGGAATTAGGTAAATATTATAAAAGGAAAATCTAAAGACATTGAAGAACAAACTTTTCATCTAACTAAAATTTTATCCCAAGACTGACTCCAACCTTCCCAAGAAGTGAACACTTTTTCAACTCCTCCTCTACTATTCTTTGCCATAGCCCCTGATATCAGGACTAAGAACATAAGTTACTTATGGATTAAAGAGGTTTTTAGGAAATTTAACTAGAAATGATAACGTTTTCTATGAAAAATGGATTCTGAGCTACATGCAGCTATCTTACTAATAAACCCTGTAAACACAAAGGTTCCTAGGCTGCGAATTCCCTGTATCCTAGGAAACACTGATTTTGTAATCCTCTGAATACTGAAAGTAGTCTCATAGTGTATGTATTTCACCTTTAGGTACCTATATTCTAACTGTTCAGCTACACTGAACACGCCCATAAGGCAGCAGATGGTAACTTCTTAGTATTCCACCTTCCTTGAGACTTGGGAGGTAATTATGGTCAGTTAATTGTGGGTTCACTGCTACTGCTGGAGCAATACAAAATATCTAAATGGTATCACACAACTAGTAATCTAGGAAGTGAATACCAAATACACTTCCACATGAATTTTTTTTTTTTTTAAGGTAGGGTCCATGCCCAACGTAGGGCTCAAACTCACGACCCTGAGGATTAAGAGTCGCCTCCTCTACCAACTGAGCCAGCCAGGCACCACTGCCACAGGAAATTTTTAATAAATGTTAAAAAAATAAGACAAAGTAACTTTTCTATATGTACAATAAAGTCAGAATTAGACATCTTTAATCATAAAGGAGATAAGCTGAAGACAGGAACGACCTTGTCACAAGTACCTAACCATAGAAAGACATTTCAGACATGTTTCCAACATACTAAATCAAAAACAGGGTAAAAACTATTTTTAGTTTCTCACACAATCAGGGTAAAAACTATTACCTCATTGCCAGCAGCCTCATGGTCAGGAACTACATCTCCATGGTGGTTTTGCGAAGCTGACACACTGACAGAAATAGATGTGTTTTTTGGTGAATGGAAGGCATTGATGAGGTGACTCAGAGGAACTGTAACCTAAAAGAAGATAAAAGTTGAAATTCAGTAGTGTGCTTTTTAAAATTAAAACAGAGAAAATCTTTTTATTGTCAGGATCTGGGATTTGTAAAATGTAAAACATACACTGTATATCAGGACTATATATTAAAAAATGAAAACACTCAGATGTATTGCTAGCAGGAAAAAACAGGTAAATTCTTCCAGGACAGTACTCTGGCTATATGAATCAAAAGTATTAAAAATATATATTTTATTTCCCATTAATGTAATTTCTAGTAGTTTATTCTAAGGAAACAATCTGAAAAGTGCTTGTATATGCATAGATGACAATTTTCATTAAAACATTTAAAAAGCACTGGAAGAGGGACGCCTGGGTGGCTCAGTCGTTAAGCGTCTGCTTCGGCTCAGGTCATGATTCCAGGGTCCTGGGATCGAGCCCCGCATCGGGCTCCCTGCTCCGCGGGAAGCCTGCTTCTCCCTCTTCTGCTCCCCATGCTTGTGTTCCCTCTCTCGCTGTGTCTCTCTCTGTCAAATAAATAAATAAAATCTTAAAAAAAAAAAAAAAGCACTGGAAGAGCAGAAATGCCCACCATTAAAAGAGTGGGCTAAATAAATGATACCACCACAAAATGAAGTATTTCAGACTTAAAAAAAAAAAAGTAAGCACATATCCAGAATTTTATTCTTCTCAACTTCCTCACTGCACCAACCTGTTCTCATCCTATTCTAAGTCACCATTACCTATATGCAGATTTTCACAATAGCCCTAACTACTCTCCCTAAACCTGCTCTATTAAAAACAAAGTCAGGGGCGCCTGGGTGGCTCAGTCTTTAAGCCTCTGCCTTGGGCTCAGGTCATGATCCCAGGGTCCTGGGATCAAACCCGCATGGGCTCCCTACTCAGCGGGAGGCCTGCTTCTAACACTCTCCCACTCCCCATGCTTGTGTTCCCTCTCTCACTGTCTGTCAAATAAATAAACAAATCTTTAAAAAAAAAAAGAAAAAGTCAGATCTCATCGCTCCTCTGCTCAAAACCCTCCAATGGCTTCTCTTCCCACTCACAATAAAAGCAGAAGTCCTAAGCACTATGACACAGAAAGCCCTCTATGGTTATTACCTCTCCAAATTTATCCACTGCTATGTTCTTCATTCTCTTTCCTCCTGCCATATTGGCCTCCTTGCTGCTCCTGGAACACACCTAGCAAGCCCTCCCTCAAGGACTTTGCATTGTTTTATTCCCTTTTGTCTAGCCTGCTCTCCGACTTCCTTCAATTCTTAACTCAAATGTCATCTTTTGAGTCTTTTCCCTAGCCAACCTATTTAAAATTTCAACAACCCTCCCCTAAAAAATATTCCTTATCCCTTTTCACAACTCCATTTTCTCTTCTTGACACTTTCAGTATCTAACACACTTTATACAAAATCTACTTGTTTATCTATATGTTGTTTATTTCTCATTTCTCTCTCTCAACCAATTCTGACACCAGCTGGTTGTCCAACAATCCAATTCTGAAATTAATTAGCCAGTGTTACTGTAGAACCCATAAGTTAAAGGCTCAGCCCCAGGGTGCCTGGGTGGCTCAGATGGTTAAGCGTCTGCCCTCGGCTCAGGTCATGATCCCAGGGTCCTGGGATCGAGTCCCGCATCGGGCTCCCTGCTAGGCAGGGAGCCT